GGGAGGGAGGGAGGAAAGCAAGGAATCGAATCTGGGCCATGTTGCATTAAAGGCACCTACAGTTGAAGGTGCATGCTGGGCAGACGTAGCCACTCATCGGAAATGGGGTGATGCCAGAGAGGGGTGTTTGGGAACATCTGGAATGTGGACAACATTGGAAATCAGTTAAGACCTCTCAGGAGAATTAAGAAAGAATGAAGGGAGGACTTGCGGGCAATCCATCAGCAATGTGCAAACAAACAAAACAAACTGGTGAGACAGGGCGAACCACACCGGACGGAGCCCATGACCTTCAGGGCCAGACTGCCCAGCTTCAACCCGGCCTCCACCACCAGTTAGCTCTGTGACTGTGGGCAAGACAGGCAGCATGTCTGGGTATCACTGTCCTCATCTGCACATGAGCTCCACCTCAGAGGGTATCATGTTGCTGAAATAAATCAACGTTTATAAAGCATTTTGAATAATGCCGGGCCCTCAGTAAATACAGCTCAGTTCTTCGTTGTTGTAAAATACAAAGTGTTACAAATCCTTTAGCCCCCAATATTGATCTAAATTTTGCATTCTATTTTACTTCTCTACTGCGCCTACTTTTTGGAAGTTTATCTTATTCTACTCATAGTTCTAGTGGATCCTGAACGAAGTATTATTGAATTCACTACCTATTTCCTGTTAAAAGTAAATCTCAGGAAAGGTAAAATCAATTATTTTCTTCACAAAACAATTACCTTATAAAAAACTCAGAGAAGCCCTAGCTGGCTTGGCTCAGTGGATAGAGCATCAGCCTGTGGACTGGGGGGGTCCCAGGTTCGATTCCGGCCAAGGGCACATGCCTGGGTTGCGGGCTCCATCCCCAGTTGGGGGAGGGCAGTGTGGGAGGCAGCCGATCAATGATTCTCTCTCATCATTGATGTTTCTATCTCTCTCTCCTTCTCCCTTCCTCTCTGAAATCAATAAAGAAATATATTAAAAAAAAAACTCAGAGAAGTTGTCTCAGGATATTCTGCCATGTAATCATGTTTCCAAAGTTTAAATCAATTAACAGTTTTCCTCAGGGGCCTGTTTCTCCAGTACTTTCCTTCTTTCACTTACTCTTTTCACTTTTCAAGACTAAAATGATGGAAGTGAGTTTTTCCTACATTCCAGGCGTTTCTGCTCATAGAGTGACGGCCGGCCTTTGGCATCGCCCTGGCCCCCCAGTCCGCTCTGTGGGGACCCTGCAGACTACCCCCAAGTACATAACCTCGTGTTCTTCACCGCCCCCCTTGGGCTGGCTCGGTGTTTGCTATGTAATGCATGAGAAAGCGTAAGAATCTCTGAACCCCTCAGGCAGGGCATTGGCCCTGTGTGATGAGGGCGGCCGAGCAGGTGGTTTAGCGGCTCAGCACGGCTCACTGAGGTCACTGGTCACCACTCGAAGGGTGAGACCTGAGGCAGGATGGCTGGTGGCTCCCCACCATGACTTCCTGCTCATGTCACCACTGAAAGTGCTTGGGGGTCCAGGCGCCTGGGACTTGTGCTCAGTGGACATCATCTTTCCTCTCTGCTCAGCTCCCAGAGCACCAGCCAGCTCCCCGCGCCCTCCCCATCCCTCCCCCCCTCCCCAGACCCATTGGGAGGCTCACACAGAGCCTCAGGAGCTTCTTGTCCAGGCGGAGGCAAGCTTCATGTTCTCACCAGTCTGCACGGCCCTCTCAGCCTGTTAACCAGGACTGTGTCCTGAGACGGTCACAGTGATGGAGATAAGAAGTCACAGGAACAGAGACAGGGCTGTTCCTGTAAGACACCGATCGGCTTTAGCAGGCGGTAGAGAGACTCGAAAGCTAAAGAGATCATGCAGTGGGGAAGGAGGAAAAATCAGTGCTCATATAGAAATGGATGCTAAAGACAGCAAGGCATAGCTAAACCGAACATGTCTGAGCAATAAGTAGACAAATTTCGTGCAGTAAAGTGGTTGGTAAGAGAAGCGATAAAGAGCTACATGGAAAGCCCTGGCCACGTGGCTCAGTTGATTGGTGCATCATCCCAGACACCAAAATGTGGTGGGTTTGATCCCCGGTCAGGGAGTGTACAGGGGGCAACAGATCAGTGTTTCTCTCTCTGTCCCTCTTGCTCTAAAAAAAAAAAATCATTAAACATATCTTTGGGCATCATCTTACAGTTAATAAAATTGTCAAGAAAGGGGTGACATACATGTAAATAAAATAATTTAAAACAAGAAATATTTCTAAAAATCTTAAGTGCCAGGATTTAGATGAAAATGGCTTCAATAATTGCCTGCATTTAACCTATAACCTATAATAATAAAAGCATAATATGCAAATAGACCAAACAGCCAAACAGCAGAACGACCATCCGGACGACCACGTTATGACAGGCCCTGGTGCCAGGCCAGCCAAGGCGGGTGCAATGCCACTGGTCCGGGGACCCGCCATCACCCCACGATCACCTCACAGAGGGAGGCCCAGGCCACCCTTTGCAGGGCGATTGATTGGGGGGCTTTGCGGAACCAGGGAACTGGGGGGGTGTGGTGGCTGACACAGGCCACGCCAGGCCAAGGTGGGTGTAGGCAAGTGGCGGGGCCTTGCAGCCGAGACTGTGAGGGCCCCGGCAGCCGGGGACTCAAGGGTCTACCTTGCACGAATTTCATGCATCGGGCCTCTAGTTATATGATAAGAAACTTATATGGAAACAAAGTGGCCAATGCACACCTACCAGCCGGTCTCCTTGGTTGTTAATAAGGAAGCGTTGAGCTTGCTGACCTTTTGCAAAGAATATAGAGTTAATGTAAGAGAGAAGCACAGTCACTGGACGCAGTCCTAGCCTCTGCTACAATGAGAGAAGTACGGGCCACAATGTGGGGTTTTGTTGTTGTTGTTTTGTGGTTTACTAATTTTATTTTAATTATTTTTTATATTTGCCTCCTTATATTTCTTTTTTCCCTTTATGTTCTTCCATCACCGTTTATCCTCCCTCTACCTTCTTCCACCTCCCCCTCCGCCCTCCCCCCCAGGAGTTCTTTCTCTTTTTTCTTTCTATTTTGCTCAATCCCTCCGCCCCAAATGTTTTCATATGGGTTGTTCCAGATGCCACAACAAAGCAGAGGCTTCAGAATTCGCTTCCCCATTAACATGTGAGGAGCTACAAGCACCTGTTCCCCGGGACACAAGGAGCAGGAAGACCTCACCTGTGTCCTGACTCCAGGGTGGTGGTGTCGAAGTGACCAGGGCACCATGATGCTTAGATCTTCATGCTGGAAGATTTACTGGAAATAAATTATTCAATTAATATATAACCAAATACATTCTAAATTTTACTGCTCCAACAATCACAGACAGATGTAGGAACTTCTACAAACAAATTACTGGGGGGAGGGGGGGGAGACAGAAAATAAGTAGATATAGAGAGTGCAAATCAGAATTAAAGTAACAATGTTATCCTAATGTATCAGTTCAATGCTACATCCCATACCAGGGTTGTCTCATTTTTTTAGCCTCCCCATTAATCCAGCTAGAATTTGAACTAGTCCCGATTAGGGGTTAATATATTATTTATAGCCTTTACACTGGTGCTAAGTTGTGCATTTTCACCCCAACAAGGATAATAATTTGGTCAGGTTTATACAAAAGCAATTTAATTGTATAACATATCATTATGTTAAAATAAACTTTTTATATTTTTTTCACAGACTTGAGTCAAAGGAGCCTTTCCTATCTGTTGGGTGAGTATATGTCTATGTATTTTAAATCTCAATTCTTTAATCAATTTTTAATTCAAGTTACCAAGGTTTGCTGAGATTGTGTTTCAGTCATTTAATTCCATATTCAGAGTCTTACCACATCTCTGGGTCCATCATTTCTTCAGTGGCATCAATACCTCCATTTTATAAAGACTTACATAAAATGCACCCTAGGCTGTTCTGTGACCTCAGAAATTCTGCTGACAAACGTCTGTGAAACACTCTATCCCAATGAGCACAGGGTAGACTAATCATCTCTATTCTCATCATGTAAACATGCTCAGTCAGGTTCTAACCTTTCCTCTGAACTACAGCGTCACTGTTTCCTGTCCACCCACCTTTGCTGTTTTCTTTCAGTCTTCTCTGCTTAGTGTTTCTTTTGCCAATTTCGCTAACTCTATCTCAAAAATCTCTGTCTTTTCTCTTTTTTTCTCATTTCACTTTTATTTCTCCACTCCATTCACACTGACTGGCTCCCTGAACACAGAGCTGGTGGTATCGTCCTGAGTCAAGATACATGGTCCAATGATCGTATATTGTAGGCAAGAACACATAGATGATCTTCGGGCATTTCGAACTAATTGTTTTTAACGGATCTGTCCAGTAATCCCTTGACTAATATATTAAAGGATTATTAATGTACTAGTCACTTTAGGACATTCTAATAGTCAAAGGTGAGCACTTCTGCATGCTCAGCATTATGTCAATGCTGTCGAGTCGCAGAGGAGTTGGAAGAGGTGGTGTCTCACTCTGAGGAGGTTGTGCGGCATTTGATGAAAACACAATCACATCTGGGCTCAGTAACCAGAACACAGATGGGGCTAGATTCTGAGTGACCACATCCATTTTCTTTTATGTCTTTGTTCGTGGCCTTTGAATATTTCTGTTACTCCTTGAGCACCATGGTTCCCTCCCCTTCTACTCCTCATAAAAGCATCTCAGAAAGTCGCTTGAATCACAGTAGTCAAAATCATTGCTTGGGAGGCAGGGGAATAGAAAGAAGCAGGTGATTTATTGGAGGACTTCATGAAAAATGGAAGGTCGAGGTGATCTGGTCCAAAAAAATCACTAGAGCGCGCTTCCTGCCCTCATTGGTCACCCGCTGCTGTTGTTAGGCATCTCTAAGCTGAGAGAAGCCTTTCATTCGGAATGCATGTGTGTCCTGCCCTCGCGTCAACAGGGTGAAACAGCTTTTCTTCACGCCTCACTTAGTGCACTTTCTCAGCGGCGTTCCGTCCTCCCACTGCGCTGAGATGGAAGTCATTTTTTATTGCACACCCTCCATAATCTTTGTTCTAAACTTATTCAGAGTTTAGAACTCAGTAGTAGAGCCCTGAGAAAAAGTTTCCAAAGAAGAATGATTTATAACTCAGCAAATACTCAACATGGGAAAACTGACATAGCAGATGATGACATGACTTAGATATGACTTATGTATGACTTAGACATGACTTAAGTATGACTTAGATATGACTTAAAATTACTTAAGTAAGATTTAGATATGAATTAGGCATGACATATATGACTTAGGTATGAATTAAGTATGACTTAGATGTGACAGAAACAATTGAGATATGACTTAGGTATGACTTAGGTGTGACAGGCATGACTTAAGTATGATTTAGACATGACTTAGGTATGACTTAGATATGACTTAGAAGTAAAGTGGGTTGAAACATATACCCAAATGGTTCTGCTGACTGGACATTTTATGTCATAGTGAAATTTCTCCATTCTCCTCCAAGGAAATGATTTTAAATAAAATTGTCCAAAAGTATGTACGAATCTTTCCTAACCCTTTTCAGTGAGAGAGCAGGGTAATGGTGACTATGAGGCACACACGAGCCTACCAGGCAACAGGTAATCTACTGCAAGAAACATATATTCAAAGTAGTGACTTTTATCTCAGTTGCTTGCCAAAGGGAATAAGAGCATGGTGTGTGGTCCATGAGATCATGGGCACATGACTATATAACATTGGACCCTGCACACCTCATGGACATTCACTTTAATTCTGTGTTGAATGAAAACTCATCTTAGTGAATAACGCAGTGTTAAATATTGCATACTCCCGCCCACTGCCTGCCAGTGTCTTAAAAAGGTGCTACTATGTACATTTAGAAACTGCTTCCACCTCCTTGCCTCTGACCCTTACAGACAAGCTCTATTAGTTTAGGCAGTTATTTCAACCCCAAGCTTCAGGTCCTTATTTGTGAAATAGAGAATCAATAAGAACATTTGCATCATGCATTTAGCTCCATCCATGGTGCGTAGGGACTGTCGGAATGTCAGCTCTCCTTGCAGCCCTACAGGCGCGTTCATGTTGTGCCAGAGAGTCAGAGAGTGAGCGCCTTCTGCAGGCCATGCTTGGAGCTACATGTGGAAATCAACGAAGTTTTTATAAAGCAGAGAAAAATAAAACTTGTGAATGAAATAAGCTATCAAACATGAGCACATATATTCCGTTTCATATTTCAATGATGAACATTAATAATTGTCATTTAAATTCCTTAGATAAAAAGAAATGTTGATACATTTTGATGCGCATCTCTTCTTAATGTAAATATGGGAACAAATTTTCTCCTCAGATGAATGTGCTGCAGAAATTATGAAATAGCATTTTTATTTTTTAAAATAGATTTTTATTAATTTCAGAGAGAAAGGGAGAGGAAGAGAGATAGAAACATCGCTGAGAGAGAAACATCCATCGGCTGCCTCCTGCACACCCCCTACTGGGGATCGAGCCTGCAACCCGGGCTTGTGCCCTGACCAGGAATCGAGCCATGACCTCCTGGTTCATAGGTTGATGCTCACCCACTGAGCACACTGGCCAGGCATGAAATAGCATTTTTAAATGACACAACATAAAATCAATCAGAACGTACCCATGGAAAATTTTGTCATAAACAGTTACAACACAAGGAAATATTTGCTTATAGAAAAGCTCAGGGAATTATGAAAGGAAATCGGTGATCTCAGACCTTCAACTCTAGGCTGATATAAGAACTTTTACATTCACAAGTCAGTGATGAATAAATAATGTCATTAGGAAAATAAAAAATAGCCCTGCTGGTTTGGCTTCATGGATAGAGCATCAGCCTGAGGACTGAATGGTACCAGGTTTTAATCCAGTCAAAGGCACGTACCTCAGTTTCAGGCTCGATCCCTGGCCCCAGTCAGGGCCCTTGCGGGAGGCAACCAATCAATGTGTCTCTCTCACATTGATGTATCTCTCTCTCTCCCCCTCCCTTCCACTCTCTCTAAAAATAAATAGAAAAAAAATATCCTCAGGTGAGGATTAACAAAACAAAAAAAGAAAGGAAAATAAACAGTAAACGTTAGCCTAGCACGAAGCCTGAAGGCTCATTTGACAGTCTGATGCTGTTTCCCAGGGTGGGTCAATGCATACGGTGGTTTCCATGGCTACCTGGCAATTCTGGTCCCACCAGGCCTCAAAACCCTGTCTGCACCAAGCCTGCATCCTCCCCATCCTCCCCTTACTGCCCGCACGCAGGTTGTCCTCACAGACATTCATGGTCTCGGGATCGCTTCGGGAAAACCTGTGGAACCTAACTTTGCACAGCCGCTCCCTGCTTTGAGGCACATGGGGGGGAACACATTGATGGAGACCTGTCTGGGCTCAGCACGGGAGGCCAGGAGGTAGAGACCGGAAGGTGTGCCTCGGGGTCTGCAAGGGCCTGTGAGCAGGCTGCCTGCGCTCACGCGCACGAAACTCACTCTGGCGTCGTCCCAGACCTCAGGTCGGGGCTGCACTAAACCTTAGATGTTAAATTATTAAACAATATAATTTAAATACTTAATAAGTGATTTTATTAAATATTAATAACAATGTTTCATTTTTCAAATTATTATAAATATATCTCATATAAATGCATGATTTATATGTAATATGCATTACGTGTATAATTTATTATATATAATATAAAATACTTTTCTATAAATAAAATAATTTTAATTAGATTCACAAATTAAAATGCTTTCCCCTCTCACCTGACAATAAAAGTCCCAGCTGCGCTGCCTTGACCTTCAGCGCAGAGCTCAGGCCTGCGCCAGTGGACCCGTCAGTCAGCACACTGTGCTGCGCGTCCTCCCAGCGTTACACCTGGAAGCAATGCCGAGAACGCCCTGGCAAGGGCTTCCCTTTGTGGCAGCAGGTAGACTCTGACTTGGGAAGTGAGCCGGGAGAAGAGCAGCATCGAGTCTGCACTTGGAAAAGAATAAGGACTGAGTGGTCGATCCAGTTAAGACTCTAAAATCAGAATCTTAGTTTAAGGCCAGTTTTGCCTGGAAAACGGTTTCCCAGCTTCTTAATGGACAGCACAGAGGAGGGGAGAAGGGCCTGCTGTTCCTGGCCGTTGGAGAGGACGATGTCAAAGTGCCCGTTGGGGCAGCGTGTGAGTCCTCGGGTGAGAGTCACACTTCCCACACACTGAGAGGTTTTAACAACATACTCAAGGCACTAAGTGAAACCTCCAGGGAATTAGTTCTCCTCACCTCGTCAGCGTGAAGCTGACCTTTTAAAGCAGTGGTTCTCAACCTTCTGGCCCTTTAAATACAGTTCCTCATGTTGTGGTGACCCCCAACTATAAAATTATTTTCGTTGCTACTTCATAACTGTAATGTTGCTACTGTTATGACTCGTAATGTAAATATCTGATATGCAGGATGGTCTTAGGCAACCCCTATGAAAGGGTGGTTCGACCACCAAAGGAGTCGCGACCCACAGGTTGAGAACCGCTGTTTTAAAGGGAAGACTTTGCATATGAATTGATTGCATTTTGGAACTGAAACTTTGATTCACACCAGTTGTTCGGCAGATGAATTTCTGCATGAGTAGCTTGATTGTACGAATGATTATTTATTGCATGGGCAAACACCCTTTTCAGACTTTTTCACTGATGTAGAATAATTTAAGTAACTCAGGCTATTTAAAAATTATATGGATACAGCTCAGAATATAT